ATGCCTAGTAGGTCTCGCAGCATCAGTGGAGAGAGAAATGGTTAAGTTTGAGTCCAAAATGAAATTTCTTCCATTTCTCTGACTGGTGGGTCAATGTGAGATTTGCAAGACTAATAACCTTAATTAACAAACTGTATTTTTATAAAGCAGTATGCACCAAAGACAGGTAAATGTAGTTGTGGTATAGCTCAACTTTGATCAGATTTGAATAGTGGAGCAGGATTAAGAGGTTGAATGACCTACCACTGTTGCTGTGTTTTTATACCAGTCTGGAAAATCTTGCACTCTGTCACAGTCTCTCTTCAATCAGCATTGTTAATAGTTTAAACCGAAAGGAGAAGCTTAATATCCATTTTACTCTGCTTTGACTTTAAAGTATGAAATTGTGAGAACAACAATGTAGCTTTGGAATTTTAAAGAACATGTTCATGATCATAGTCTTGCTCCCAGCTAGTTGTATAATAAGGACACCATAGAGAGGTTTCAGAGCAATTCAGCCAAGTTGAGTGAGTGGACAAATACATGCAGTATAATGTGGATGAATATGCCGTTATCCAAAAGAATGGCTGAATATTATTTAAATGGTGATTTGTACATGAAACATTCTCAAAGGACCTGGATGTCCTTGTACACTGGTCAACTGAAAGCAAGCATGCAGGATCAGCAAGCACTTAAGATGGAAAGTGATATATTGGTCTTGGTTGCAAGAGTGTTTAGATATAGAAGCAAGGAAGGCCTACTGAAACCTTACAGGACCATGCTGGGGGACACCTGCAGTGTGTATGCTGTTTTGGTTGCCTTACCCAAGGAAATATGTATTTACCAGAGAAGGGAGACTATGCTTTTTGTCCAATTAATTCTCTCAGGGCACTTCTTGCATCCTTTAATTACCACCTCAATCTCACATATAATTTCAACACGAAGTAACCGAGTGTCTTGATCAAATTATTTATTTTTTTTCTATCTTTTTGAAACCCTATTACATGCTTCTGTCTGTCTTTATTGACTATGCAAGCTGTCACTTTCCTTCTGTAATTTTGTAACTTGTTCCCTAGATTCCCTTCTGAACCTTCCTAGAAAGTATATCAAAAATAGACTTTTAGGCTCCATCACAGTTCCACCACTCTCAATAAATCTTTTGTTCCAGCTACCCCAGTTTTCATAATCGAACCTTCGAGCAACCGCTATCTAGCATATGGAAAAGCTATTGTGTGGTTGTTTTTTTTTTTTTTTTTTTTTGGAAGAATTCTTCAATGTTTGTTTATAATCTAATGCTGCACCATCCAAATTTCTGTAAAACCTCAATCTTTGGTATCCACCTCCTGATACCGTACTTTTCTTATGTTTTGCAGGGGTTGGTTTGTGATCACAGTTACCTAATAGGGGCAGTTGATGATTTGATTTGCAGCAATTTTGAATTTATGAAGTCAAATCTGCAGAATATAAAAGGGCTCTTTTGGCCTGTTGTAGTCATGCTGGTTAAAAGCAGCCACCTAACTATTCTAAACCCATTTTCCAGCACTTGACCTGTAGACTTCTATGCCTTGGAATCACAAGTGCATGTCTAAATACTACTAAAATATTATGAAGGTTTCTGCCTCTACAACACTTAAAGTCAGCGAGTTCCAGATTACTGCCACCCTCCATGAAGAATCTTACCTCCCATCTCCTCTGAACCTTCAGCCCCTTACCTTGGTTGGAGACATAGACACAATGAACCTTCTTTTCAGGAGAAAGGTTTCTTCCTGTCTCCCCATCTGTGCCCCTCAATTTTATATAAATCTCAATCATAAGACCATACTATAAGGTGGCATGGTGGCTCAGTGGTTGCCATTGCTGCCTCACTGTGCCAGGGACCCAGGTTTGATTCCAGTCTTTGGGCAACTGTCTGTTTGTATAGTTAGCACATTCTCCCCGTGTCTGCGTGGGATTTCTACTGGATGCTCCAGTTTCTTCTCTCAGTCCAAAAATGTGCATTTTAAGTGGATTAGCCATAGTAAATTACTCTGTTGTGCTCAGGGATGTGCAAGCTGGGTGGTTACCCATGGTAAATGTGAGGTTACAGGGATTAAGTTGGGGGTTGGATCTGAGTGGGATGCTCTTCAAAGGATTGGTGCAGACTCGAGAGGCTGAATGGCCTTTTTCCGCACTGTGGGGATTCTGTGATTCTGTTCTGTGGTTCGAAAATAGGAACCAGAGTAGGTTGGCCACTCGAGCCTGTTTCGTCATTCAACTTGATCATGGCTGATCTGATGTTCTTCATGTCCACTTTTCTACACTTTCTCTGTAGCCCTTTATTTCCCTTACTATCAAGAATCTATCCAAGTCAGCCTTAAATATGCACATGAACTCAGCCCACAGCTGCCTGTGTGGCATGGCATTTCAAAGAAATTCTCCTCTTTTTCAGTCTTTAATCAGTGCCCCTTTATTCTGATACTATGCCCTCTGGTCTTAGACTCTCCCGTGAGGGAAATATCCTTTCAGCGTTTACTCTATCAAGCCCCTTAAGAATCCTTTTATGCTTCAATGAGATCTCCTCTCATTTTCCATGCTGGGGGCCACCCTATTAACTTTATCTGAACTGTCTCCAAATGAAATTATATTTTTCCTTTTAAGTGGACCAAAACTGCTCTCAGTACTTCAGATGGGTCTCACCATCACCTTGTACAGTTGCAGAAAGACTTCTCTCTTAGCCTGCTTCAAACGCTTTGAATTAAGGGCTGGCATTCCATTAGCCTTCCTGATTAGCACACATGCAGCAGATAGCCTTCTGCGTTTTGTGCGCAAGTATTTCCCAGATCCTTCACGTTGCAGAAATCTATGGCTTTTCTCCATTTAAGTAATACTTTATTCTTTGTTCTCCCTTCCAAAATAAATAACTTCACATTTTTCCCACATACTGTATTTACCAATTTCTTGCTCACTTAACCTATCAATGTCTCTCCCCTAAGCTGCATGTATCCCTCTTTCAACTTGCCTATGCACCTATTTTTGTGTTGTTGGTAAATTTGGTTACATTGCATAGAATTCCTTCCTCTAAGTCATTAATATTTATTATAAATAGTTGCAATCCAGCAGTGTTCTCTTTGGAGCTCTACTGGTTACAGGTTGCCAATCTGAAAAAGAAGTCCTTATCCCCATTTGCCATTTAATTCCCATTAGCTAATACTGTGTTCATGCCAGTCGATTACCTCCAACATCATGTGCTATAATGACTTCATCTTCTGTGGGGTACCTTGTCGAACACCTACTGGAAGACTAAAGGCAATGTGTCTGCTGGTTCCCCTCTATCCATTCTGGTTGAAACTTCTTTGAAAAACTCCTAACAAATCAGTCAGATGTGAATTTCTGATCATGAAGCCATGCTGACTTTGATTACATTACAGTTTTCCGACTCTGTTTGTCATTGCTTCCTTAATTGATTCAGTCCTCAGTCTTGATTTCAAATAAACCTGCTGGAGTATAACCTGGTGTTATATGATTCCTGACTGTCCCCCCTAGTCCAACATTGGTACCTCCACATCGTAATTGATTCAAGTATTTTTCCAACGATATATGTTAGGCTAATTGGGTGTGGTTACCTGCTTTTTGTCTCCAACTTTTTGAATAGGGTTGTCATGTTGGCAGTTTTCAAATCCTCCAATACTGCTCTAGAATTCAAGAAGTTTGGAAAAATTACAATCAATGCATCCACTACTTTCCCATCTCCCCACTATCTCTTTATTAATGGGATGGTCAAAGTATCTTCGAGTTTGAATTTATCCCAGTCTTTGGGACTAAAAACTGACTGCCCCTTTATATAGTTTTTCTCTCCAAAGTCGCACTCTCCGTAATGTCCTTGATTAGCCATGGTTAGTTTATCCCTTTATTGGAATCTTTCCTCCTTTAGTGGGATGTATTTTTGAGTCACAAAATAATATAATAAAGCAATAGTCGTGTAATAATCTAATAGTCACATAATAATCATTCCTTCCTAGGGGATCCTTTACTCTGAGTTCATTTATTAAATCTGCCTCAATACCCATAACCAAATGTAGGAAAGCCTGTTCCCTGGTTGGCTCCATGATACGTTAATCTAGGAAACTATCCTTCATGCACTCCATGAATTATTTGTCACAACCTTTCCCAATTTGGTTAACATAATCAACATGAGGATTTAAAGTCGCCATAATTGTTGCTGTATTTTTTCCACATGCTCCTATTATTTGTTGATTTTTATAGTCTTTTCCACTATGCTGTTTTTGCTACTGTTTTGAGGTCTGTACACTTTTTCCCTTGCTGTTATTTGTCTCTACCCAAATGGATTCTACATCATTCAATCCTAGATTATTTCTCTGAACTATCCGCATATCTTTGCACTATTAATAAGTGAAATGAAGTGCGGGCTAGGTGGATTAGCCACTGGAAGTACGGGCTATGGAGATAGGGTACGAGGTCTGGGTTTGATTGGGATGCTCTTTGGAGGGTCAGTGTAGAATCAGGCCAACAAGCCTTTTTCCACGCTGTAGGGATTCTGATTCTCCAGCCCAGGAAACGTCCTGCTTATGAAGAATTTATGCAGCAGTACTTGGATACGATTACATTAGTTGGACAAAGAAGCATATAACTGAGACAACTGGGGATGGTGCTCTCTGTACACTAGAGGGGACACAAGCTATTGCCGTGTAATGTGTTAGTCTTGTTAAAGTTGTCAAGGCTGCATACTGCTCTCTAGCTGAGGTATTTGGGAATCTTCACTGGGTCTTCCACTGCAGGGAAAGTGGAACATCCATAATCATTGTCAAGAGGAGAGTTTTTGTTTACCACACTTGGATGTACTTTGGTATTTGCACATGGAGTTTTAGTCCAGTGACTCATTTGTGTGCTAAATATAGAATAATTTCTGAATTGTCTTTTCTTGGTCTCATGGCAGCATACAGTGGGAATTTTGAATTTTGTGTGCAATGGTTTGATGCCAATTGTTGTACGACTTCTGTGACCATGTACTTTTTCAAAAACAGGTGAACGTCGTGCCGCCTGCCATACCTCCAGGCGTTGATCTTTCTCAAGCTGCCTGCTCACCTGTTACTTCTATTTCATCTCCACTGAATGAATCGTACATGATAGCTCAGCAGAATGGAAGTAAAGAAATTGAACATGAAACCTCAGTGCAGCAAGGCAAGCAGTCCAATGAAGAATTTGAGCAGATTTTGAGGAAAATGGCCCATGTAAGAGGATGAATCAATGTAACAGAATTTAACTAATGTTGGACATTAGATGACCTGTTTAATGTATGTTCTTTCAGTATAACTTCAAAATTTTCAGACATCTATTAACCAAATAGTTTCTGTCGTCATCATTTTTTTTTTTTTTGTTTTGATTTGTATTAGCTATCTGGTGCTATTTATTCCTATTGCCCTGCGTTAGTTAACTCCAGTACCTGGAAATGTTGCAGGGAAAAGAGAAACCATTTACAGTAGTTTCACTATTAAGTACATTTTCACCTAGTTAAATTCAAGATTTTTTTAATACCTCTTGGTTATTTCTGTTTTCTGCCATTTCAAATGTCAGCTCATATCCTGAGTCAGTCTGCAAATGTGGCTTGAAACTCTCTGTCTATGAATTCAGTTTTTGGATTACCTTTGAGATTAATCTGAAGCCCAAACTGGGATATTTTCCTACGGATGAGCTAGACAAATCCCTTTCAACAAACTTTCTATTGTATTTAGATATACAGCCAAATAAGGCACACTTGGATCAAGTGTCAATAAATTAATAATCCTTATTTACAATAGCCCATTGTAGTTCATAGTAATAGTAGGAATTGATCCAAACACACCTTGATATATGCTGGAACTTGCTGCAAGCTTCAGCATTCTTCTGCAGTTGCTCCAGGTTGAAAACATGGATACTTTATATAATAACAGTGATGGCTGGGGAGGACATCGAAAATTTCAGTTCTGGATAATATTCATATTACTCTAAACTGCTGTATGGTTGAAAATATTTTTTGTTTGCTAATTGTGACCAGAATCTCCATCCCACTAGGGTCGTTCCATTGAATACATAAATTTGATGAAACCTGCCTGCGATGGTTTGGGGTTCAGTATTGTAGGACTTAAGAATGAAAATAATGGGGAACTGGGGATCTTTGTTCAAGAAGTCCAAGAGGGCAGTGTGTCAGCAAGGTAAGAAATTGTCTTGAGATTCCCCTCAATGTATGATCTGTTTTCAGTAAGCATGGCATTAATTTTGATTTTTAGTTCTTAAATATGGTACCTACTTGCCAATCAAATTTGTGGAATTGATTTTGTTACTGTTTTAGAAATTAAAGTATTTAAAACTGTCTTTTGTAATTGTTTCACCAAATAAAATATTTATTTCAGTTTTGTTAGCTTACTTTAAATCTCTAACTTTGTTCTATGCCTTCGTTCTGCAATCTGAAGCACTTTGAGAGTGTAACTGCAAGACTAAAGGACAGTCATGTTTTCAGGAACCAAACTGATGCAGACTTGGTACAATTAATAATTGTAGGATTACAACAATTACTGAAGAAGACCAACAGCCAGTGTGTTGAATCTTGACAACTTGAAGCAGGACTGTAGTGTTGAGTATAGAAATAAATTCTAAAATGACTATAACGATTGATTATTGAGTTGAAGGTAGACACTTCTTCCACATCTTTGTCACAGTACCATATGGTATCTTGTAAATATTATTGAAGTGGGTTATCTATGTAAACCAGAGATCAGTGCCTGGACCCCAGCTCTGTGTGTGGATATTACATTTAGCTCCCTTATCTAAATCGTATCTAAAAGTATTCGGGCCACGCAAAGCTGAGTAGGATGGTGGGCACATGCACCACAGATGAAATACAAGTGTGATGCTACGTAGTTTGGTAGCAAAGCCAGGAAAACATTATCTGAATGGTGATAGATTGGGAAAGGGGTCAGTGCAATGTGACCTGGATCCTTATACACTAGTTGCTGAAAGTTAGCATGTAGGTGCAGCTTGTGTGAAGAAAGCAAAATGGTGTGGTGGCAGCAAGAGGATTCGAATACAGGAGCAGGTGTACCTTGTTAAAATTATACAGGGTTTCAGTGAGACCTCATCTCGACTTGTTGTGTGAAGTTTTGGCCTCCTTATCTGAGGACAGATGACTCTGGGTGCGGAGATGGTGCATGGAACTTTTACTGAACTGATTGCTGGAATTGCAAGTCTGAGAAAATGGAGAATCTGAATTTGTTTTTCTTTCTATTCATTTGTGGGATGTGGGCATTGCTGGCTGGCCAGCATTTCTTACCCATTCCTAGTTGCCCTTGAGAAGGTTGTGGTGAGCTGCCTTCTTGAACTGCTGCAGTCCTCCTGCTGTGGATTGACCCATCATGCTATTAGGTAGGGAGGGAATTCCAGGATCTTGACCCAGCGACAGTGAAGGAACGGCGATGTATTTCCAAGTCAGGATGATGAGTGGCTTGGAGGGGAACTTGGAGGTGATGTCCTTCTAGATGGAAGTGGTCATGTGTTTGAAAGGTGCTGTCTGAGGATATTGGGTGATTTTCTGCAGTGCATCTTGTAGATAGTAGTACTGACCATTGGTGGTGGAGGGAGTGAATACTTGTGGGTGTAATGCCAATCAGGCGGGCTGCTTTGTCCTTGATGGTGTCAAGCTTCTTGAGTGTTGTTGAGGCTGCACTCATCCAGGCAAGTGGGGAGTATCCATCACACTCGATTTGCGCCTTGTGGATGGTGGACAGGCTTTGAGGAGTCAGAAGGTGAGTTACTTGCCGCAGTATTCCTAGCTTCTGGCCTGCTCTTGTAGGAACTGTGTTAATGTGGTGAGGTCAGTTGAGTTTCTGGTCAATGGTAACCCCCAGGATGTTGATAATGGGAGATTCAGTGATGGTAACACCATTGAATGTCAAGAGATGGTGGTTAGATTGTCTCCTGTTGGTGATGGTCATAGCCTGGCATTTGTGTGGTGCCGATGTCACTTGCCACTTATCAGCCCACACCTGGATATTGTCCAGATCTTTTTGCACGTGAACATGGACTGTATCAGTATCTGAGGAGTCATGAATGGTGCCGATCATTGTACAATCATCGGTGAACATCACCAATTCTGATCTTATGATGGAGGGAAGGTCATTGATGAAGCAGCTGAAGATGGTTGGGCCGAGGACACTACCCTGAGGAACTCCTGCAGAAATGTTCTGGAGCTGACATGATTGACCTCCCATAACCACAACCATCTTCCTATGTCTCAGGTATGACTCCCACCACTAGAGCGTTTTTCCCCTGACACCCATTAATTCCACTTTTGCTAGGGCTCCTTCATGCCATACTCTGTTGAATGCAGTCTTGATATCGACGGCTGTCACTCTCACTTCAGCTCTGGAATTCAGCTGTTTTGTCCATGTTTGAACCAAAGCTATAATGAGATCAGGAGCTGAGTGGCCCTGGCGGAACCCAAACTGGGCGTCACTGAGCAGGTTATTTCTGAGCATCTAGGATTACGTACACTGGAATTGAGAAGAATGAGGAGGTACCTCACAGAAACCTATAAAATTCTAACAGGACTTTACAGGATAAACACAGCAAGGATGTTCCCAATGGCCAGGAATCAGAGCCCAAGCATTTGGGGGCAGGCCATTTAGGATTGAGATGAGAAGAAATCTCTTCAACCAGGGAGTGGTGAGCCGGAGGAATTCTCTGCTACAGAAAAAAAATGTTGAAGACACCCCATTAAGTCTTTTCAAGAAAGAGTTAGACATAGTTCCTAGGGCTCAAAGGGTATGGGGTGAATTGGGAACAGAGTACTGAGGTGGATGATCAGCCATGTTCGTATTGAATGGCTGAGCAGCTCAAAGCACCAAATAGTCTACTTACCTCGTATGGTCTATGTTTCTAAAGACTAGTGAGAAAAATTAAACTATTGAATTAAAGGAATAATGGCAACTTGGAAATATTAAAAAAAAAACTGAGGACTATAAAGTAGAAAATGTTGAATAGTTTTTCAGATTGGAGGGTGATATACATTTAGTGTTTGCTGGTATAAAGATCTATGCTTTTTTGGTGTATATTAATGAACTGAACTTGGATATACAGAGTGTAAGTTTGAAAATTTAAAGAATGAAGAGCACTGTGTAACAGAATCCAGAAAGACGGAGGCAAACTGTTTAAATGGGCAAATATGAATGGGTGATAAGAGTCTCAAAGAATTAGAAGAGATCCAGAACCAGTGGAGGGGTGGTGGTAGAGCTGGGATGTGTGGTGATATTGCAAACAGATGGGAGTGGGACTTGAGTGGATTGCATTTTGAAAACCCCAAAGTAGTCTCAATGGGCCGAGCCTTCCATGTAATTCTGTTCTGAGATTTGGCAATGAGATATCTTATTGACTTATACCACCAATCAATTTAAGATCATGCCACTGCCGCCAAGACCTTGAATTGAAATGCTTGTTGATGTAACGAATAGTTGACTTTTCTCTGGTTTATGTTTACATTGTATCCAAATTTTAAGTTTTTCGATGCATTTGTTACAAGATGAATTTGTGAAAAATCTGTAAATTACATGACGTAATTATCTAAACATTAAGTCAAATTTACCAAAATTATGTTATGTACAGGCAAAATCCCATCTGGCATGATTGGATATGAAAATGGCAAATTTTTTAGTCCATCTCAAAGTTTTGAGTCATTCCTTTAGTCCTTTTAGAAGGACTGCGAGCATGTTACAGAGCTGGTTTTGTTAATCTAGCGCTATAATAGAAAAAGCCATAAAATTAAACAGTAAAAGCACACTTACTGTAACACAAATTTGCTACATATTTTCAGTCGGTTTTTAATGTTTTTGACTTTACTTTTTGATCCCCTAGATGGATATTGTGCAATGAAGTAACTTGTAGGCAAGAAGTTGAGTAAGTTTTCTTTTTTTAAGTAATGATGTCAATCAGTTCTTGGTATTGAAAGCTCTGAAGTTCAATATAAGCTAGATGGATTGACTTTTTTTTTTTTGTTGCCTTCTTTATGGAATCTGCTCATGATGCTTTATTTTACGTTGGAATTTAGGCCGTAGCCAGCAGCACCTTTTGATGTTGACAAAACTTTATTGAAGTTAACTAAGGGAAATGAAAATCATTAAACAATGGTGTGGAATAAATGACATTAAGTATTTCATCTATACTCCATTAATAGAGATGGTAAACTAAAGGAATCGGACCAAATCCTAGCTATCAACAGACAGCTCCTAGATCAGACTGTCACCCATCCACAAGCTATTGGCATCCTGCAGAAAGCCACAGAACAGGTTCAGTTGGTGGTTGCCAGAGGATCTGTTCCACGTTTGTCCAGTCCAGGAGCTTCACGTACACCGTCGGATGCGAGTACACTCTCTGCCCATTCTTCTTCTGTAAGTTAAAATGCATTTAACTCGAGTTGCTGAAAGCACAAAATATGGATATGTTATAGATAATCTTAATTCACAGTACTTTTTTTGAATATTCTGAATTTTAATTTTAGAATTCTTTTGTATATTTTGAATCAATCTGATAGGTGTGAAAACATTAAATATGATTTTCTGCTGACTGTACTTTGGGCTCAAGTATGCTTGAAAATAGTTAACAAAACCATTACAATTTTGCTGCAAATTGTTTTCTATATAATGTCAACAAAAGGAAATTAAGGATGGAAAGATTGTAGTATTAGCCACATTGTGGTAGTGAGAAAATTAATAGAAGCTGAGATTAAGGCACCTTCTCTTCTACCTGCCTCTATACCTGTCACCACTCCACCTCCTCATCTTTAATTGCAGGAGGTGAGTATGGTGAGAAATGGAAATTTGAAAAATCTATTTATTAGAAAACGCGTTTTGGTGTAATTTTGTTGAGTGTATTTCTGAACCTACAGCCAATCTTTTTAGTTGGTGCTAATTTTGAGCTGTATGTTAGGAATGTATGTTTACTAATGGTATGAAATGGCTACCATCCTGTTCACTGTTTTGAGATTTCAGTTGAAATGGGAGCTCCCAGTGTAAGCAGTCATCTGTTTTATGTTATATTGTACCAGTGGTGCTTATGTTAGCACAACACCTCTATCAAGGCATATCCTTTCAGAACATCAATTCTTGAACATAAATTTTGTCTTTGTATCACAGTACTTTGCATACTGTTCTCACCTTTGTTATCACTGCTTTTTGTTAAACCATTTTAATCCCTTCATTCAATGTTTTGCTTCCTTGTCAAAACCACAATTTTTTTGTTTTGTTTTTGCATCGCACGTACCACTGAATCCAGATGGGTGAACAACAAATGTATATTTCTGTTACAGAAACAAATTGTCAAAAAAACTCAGCAAGTCTGGCAGCATCTGTGGAGAGAAAGCAGAGTTAATATTTCAAGTCCAGTGAACAATCTTCAAATCTGAAGAGGAGTCACTGGATTCAAAATGTTTAACTCCTTGTCTCTCCACAGATGTTGCCAGATCTTCTGAGTTTCTCCAGCAATTTCTGATTTTGTTTCAGATTTCAAGCATCCATGGTTCTTTGGATTATAGTGTATTCATTTGTTGTGGCCTCTTTCTTTGACTTAAGTCATCTCATTGTCTTTCACATCACTGATTTATTCCATGCTTCTCAGATTTTCTTCCCTCCAGTTTACTGCTGTAGTTGTACAGTCTCGTGCTTCTGCTTATACTTTGTGCAACTCACTTACAGCAGATTCCTCCCACACCACAAGTTTCTGTACCTAGACTGCATTCTTAGTGCTCTCTCATTCACTGAATATATGTGGTTACTTTCAGTATAGATTAATAACACTCTGCTGTAGCTAGATACAACCTCAGTAATTGTGTAACAACTCTTCTATTGGTCCAAAAGGTATTGTATACTTGCTGCAGCTTTATATAAGAGGAATGAATGGGACAACATTCCCTTTTAGCTTTATGTTGCTAAAACAAAAACCATCCTGTTAAGCTTTTGCTAGCTGAGACCTTGCATTCATCATTGCTACTGCTGCTGCTTGTGTAAAAAGATCTATCTTGGTGTACTGTTTGGTCTTCATGATATTGACACTGACTCTGTTGTCGAGGCCATTTTGTTCCCCACCTACTACATTATTCGTCGGTCTTCTTTTCTCCGCCTCCTGTGACTCACTCCTTGCTTCCCAACCAGCTGTCGTGCAGCAGACTGACTCAATGAATCACTCAACACCCAGGTCCACTTTCAGCATCAAAGAGCTTAATTATTTTACACTGGTAGGCGGAAAACCTCTGAGTCCAGAATCGTCCTCACTGAACAGAGGAACGATATAACCTTCTTTTTATTTCTTTTCAGCCTGCCGTGACATTTGCAAACAGATGATGTTATTGGTTGCACACCGATCCAATCAGGTCAATTGTGACTGTGTGATCAGTTGATGGACAGTTATAGATCTTGCCATGATCTCCTGTTTACCAGACATCTTTTATAACCTATCCTTGTGCTTCCACAGTGCATCTTATTCAACCACATTTCAATACTGCTGACTTCTGCATTTGTTATTCAGTTCTCCCTGTTCACAGACTGAGGGCTCCTCCCTACTGTCTAAGGCTCTGTCCACAGGAATTCAGTTAAATCCCTTAATGTCTGTAATTTAAACTACCATTATTTTTATTTATATATAAGTATATATGCGCTTATAATCATCTAAAGGATCTTGACTAATGTGAGTCAAGTTTCCCCACTTTATTCCATGGGCTTCTATCAGTTCATCTCAAGGATGTCCCTTGTCCAAACTGTCTCTTTATAAGCAGTGGCTCTTTTTTTTTTGCTGCTGCTGCTTACTCACATCCTGTTGTGATTTTTGAGATGATTTGTATCTTGATTTCTATGAGTTCAAAGGCCACTCTGACTATGTAAATTACTGCTGCACCTATCAAGTTTTGGCTATTTTTGTCAACTAAAATCCACAGACAACCACTTTGTTATCTAAGAGCCACGGGCAGCCCTAACACTAATAAAAGGGAAAGGTAGCATAAACTTGTCAATAATGAGGGAAATGTTTACATCTGGAGATAAATGTAAAGTGGCTGTTACAAACTTACAGGATGACAGTCTCATTATTAAAATTTATTCTTCAGTTTTTTTTAAATTTTTTGCCTCAATAGTATTTGAAAAATGTAAATGCATATGTATTTTATGAAGCTGTTGTAGAATTTGATTGTATGGGTGCTTGCAGCAGGGTTGTTTTTTGCAGTACCTAGGTTAAATTTACATTTTTAACTGCTTTATCTTGCCAAATGAGATCAATATTTGAATAATGCCTAATATTCTCCTCCATAAACCTGAAGTGGTTTGTTATACAAATATGCTTTTGGAGAGGTATTAGTTTATATAATACACCAGGTAGATGTGTTATCTGACTTTATCAAAATTTCAATACTTCACATGGTGACGTATATACTACTTTTTATCCCTGACAGGTCCACTGGCAGATTGTTGAAACGATTGAGCTAGTAAACGATGGCTGTGGTTTGGGATTTGGAATTGTAGGTGGAAGAACAACTGGTGTAATTGTGAAGACTATTTTACCTGGAGGAGTTGCTGACCTAGTAAGATGTCAAAAATACAGTCAGTTGCTTTGCTGTGTATGAAATTGCATCAGTGCTGCTCACCTTCATAGTTTTATTGGGAGGGAAGGTGCATTTTTGTTTGTAGAATTTCTACTAACTCTTAAGTGAATTTTAACTGCTAAAATTCAACAATTTTGGCTGAGAATGGGGGATTAAAATTCCCAAAAATGCCAACTGTTTGAGAACCCAATATGATCCCTTCCAGGTTTAAAAATGGGGCAGACTTGCAGACCAGCAAGGAATCTAGATTGGGTTATTGATTTAACATACTCTCAGTCAACTGACATTTGACTTCAACTGAGTTTTCTGGCTTTAAAAAGCCATGTGTGGATTTTCCATACTAGAATTCTCTAGGATCAACCAAATGAGAGCACAGTGGGGTCTTGCTGAAGAATAAAACTGATACTGAGAAGCCTGGATAGCAAAATTATAGTGCATGCAACCAGCCTCAATGACAGACTTTTGCTTATTTGTTTATTCTGAAAGCCTGGTTTCATTGCTTGGAGGTTATTTCAACATTTTGGAAGTAATGTATCTTGGAGCTCATATTCCTGATGCGTGGGACATTCAGCCCCTTGAGCCTATTCCATCATTTTGATATTGTAGTTCTGATTGTGGCCTCATCCAATGCCCTTTAGCTCCCTAGTTATTCTACCTCTACCTTTAAAAAATATTGAATGACCCTGACTTCACCAGTTTTTGGGGAAGAGTGTTGCACAGATTTATGGCCCTCCAAGAGGGGAAAAAAAGTTCTGCTCATTTTCATCTTAAATAAGAGAACTCTTTTTATTTTTAAACTGTTTCCGTAGTTATAGCCTACACCACAAGGGGAATTATCCTTTCAGCATCTGTCCTGTTAGGTCTTTAATGTTTCAATAAGATTGCCTCTCATTTTGTTTCTAAACTCCATTGGACAGTGGTCCAATCTATTCTTCCTTTCCTGAAAGATAACACCCCCTCCCAAGCAATATACCCTCCCAATTTTTTGTTTGGTGGACCTTCGAGGTCTGTGCAGTAGTTAACTCATTGGCGCGCCGGTTAACATGTACAGAACTTTGCCGCACAGCTTACAGGGAACATTGATCACAAGTATTAGTCATGTGAACCATCTGTGAACTGCTCCTAATGCAATTGTCATTTTTTAAGTTAGCGATGAAACCCATATACAGTATTCTAGATATGATCTCACCAATACACTATCAAATTGTACAAAAAGCATCCCTACTTTTACATTCCATTTCTCTCGAAATAAGCGACATCATTGCTCTTGTTGTACCTGCTTATCAACCTATTGTGGCTCATGTACCAGGTCACTCTGGATTGTCTGTGCTTGAGTCTGCAAGTGCTGTCTGCTTCTTTACTAATCTTTCCAAAGAAGGATAGTTCATATTAAGCAGATGCATTATGTCATCTTCATGACTTTTTAGCTTATTTGTGTCATCAGCAAATTTTGCTTCCTTAGTTTTGGTGCTGACATTCAAGTCATTGATATAGAATTTAAATAGCTGAGGCCTAATCATTTTTCCTGTCACATTCTACTCGTTATATCTTGTCAACTTTCGAAATGGCGCATCATGTGTGCTATTGGTTTTCTGCTTGCTAACTAATCCTCTAACTGTGCTAAAGATTGTTACTTCCTCCATGGGAGCAACTTTAGAGCAGTAGTATTAACCACTAATGAGGAGCAACAAACATCCATTCTGTAACAACACCAGCAGCATTAGAACTCTTACCAATAGATGCAATACCAAAAGCAGCAATTACACTAGCAGAAGCTGCATTGTCTGCAGCCCTCTGCTGCTCCACAAACCAGGGACACCGAGCTGTATCTCAAGGCAGTGGTACCTCTAGCAGAAAATATACGGACACTGGGGAAATGTCACCAACATGATGGGCCAACAGTGTCTCAGGACATTCAGGCTTTTGTAGCAGATTACTTAGATCGACTGCCATCTGGGCTAAGAGCTCCCGTCAGAGAGCCAGGTGGTTGTGCAATCGTTGTGAATGTCAATATTACTACTTCAGTATCAAATTTGATAGTTGTCCTTTGAGGCAAATATAGCCTTAACCTGTTTTTCATTATTACTCTGTCCATTTTCAGTCAACTATTTACCCTCTACAATTGCTCCGAAAAATTTTCCAACACTTATATTAAATGCGCAGTGCCTCCCTTTCAATGACGTCTTTGAATTCTGTAAATGTAGTGTTAATTAGCATTCAGAACGTATCACATTGTTACATTGCCATGTTGTTTCCCATCAGTACCTATAACCATAACAAGTCCTTTCCCCACACTTTATACCTTTTTATGCCTTTCTCTCTTTTTTGTAATGAGACTAGACGGGATTGAGGTTCGTAAGGAGGAGGCGTTAGCAATTCTGGAAGGTGTGAAAATAGGCCGGATGGGATTTATCCTAGGATTCTCTGGGAAGCTAGAGAGGAGATTGCAGAGCCATTGGCTTTGATCTTTATGTCGTCATTGTCTACAGGAATAGTGCCAGAAGACTGGAGACTAGCAAATATTGTCCCCTTGTTCAAGAAGGGGAGTAGAGACAACCCTGGTAACTAT